GAGAGAGAGGGACGGCCCCTGGACCGGGTGCGGGAGGGGAGAGAGAGAGGGAGAGGAGGGGAGAGAGAGCGAGAGAGGCGAGAGAGAGAGCAGCGAGAGGGAGGGAGAGACGCGGGAGGGGCGGGAGAGAGAGGTACGGCCCCTTGGACCGGGTGCGGGCGGGGAGAGAGAGAGGGAGAGGAGGAGAGAGAGAGAAGAGAGCGAGAGGAGGAGAGAGAGAGAGAGAGAGAGAGAGAGGGAGAGGAGGAGGAGAGAGAGAGGGGGGGGGAGGGAGGGAGGGAGGGAGAGGGACGGCCCCTGGACCCGGGTGTGGGCGGGCGCTGGGAGACCAGCCATGGGAAGGACCCAGCGCTGGAACAGAGCTCTGAGGCTCAGCGGGAAGAACCGAAGTGTGAGCGTGAACCACGGAGTGAGTGAGGCCTCACCTCGGCAGAGAGAAGCAGGAGGAGGAGGAAGAAACACAAACGGGGTGGGCTTCACCTCGCTTGTTACCCAGGATTCAGACGCTCACAGAACCACGCACCCGGCCACAAACAGGCGCTTCGGCACAGCAACATGCCCGAGGCTCGCTGGCCAGTCCGCCCGATGGAGCAAAGGGTCCCACCATCGCTGAGGCCTCCGCGGGAGACAGACAGGAGGGACACCTTCTCACTGAGCCGGGGGCCGGCTCCACCCCACGGACAAGCGGTGACGAGGGAGGAAAACCTGCAGGCCCGAGTCTATAAACACGCACAATCCTCCCTGTCAGCCGGCGACTCCAACAGGGTGTCCGAAGCCACCCTCAGCCGGGGCGCTCGCCCCAGGTGACGACAGCCCCTGTGTGCTCACAGGAGGCACTGGGAGCTCTCCCGCCCGCCAGGGGCAGGAGCAGGACTAGGACGCTGTCCCGCCTTCTCAACACCACCTTGGAGCCCAGCTCACTAACGGGACAGACAGGGAAACAGAGGCAGGGGCTGGGGAGGGGACACAGCTGTCTGTTCGCCTGTCAGCACGCCTGGACCCACGCACAGCTGAGCCTCGATCCCGTCAGCATCACAGCCACGGCAGGGCCGAGGGAGGCAGGGAAGGCCAGGGGAGGCCGGGGGAGGCTGGGGAGGCTGGGGAGGCCGAGCCTCGATCCTGTCTGCATCACAGCCCCGGCAGGGCCAGGGAAGGCCAGGGAAGGCCAGGGGAGGCCAGGGGAGGCCAGGGGAGGCCGAGCCTCGATCCCGTCAGCATCACAGCCACGCAGGGCTGGGGGAGGCAGGGGGAGGGCGGGGAAGCCGAGCTTCGGTCCCATCAGCATCACAGCCCCGGCAGGGCCAGGGGAGGCCGGAGAGGCCGGGGGAGGCCGGGAGGCTGACATTCACGTCAGCTGCTTTCCTGGCCCCAGAGGGCAGGCTGCGGGCTGATGGCAGAGGGCCTGCAGGAACAGCAGTGCCCAGGTCCATGGCAGCAGCAGTGGCCCCAGCAGCCTCAGAGCAGAGGATGGGAGGGTGACAGGGACGTCGCCGAGGCTGTCACACACTCCACCCCCTGCCAGGCGCACGAGGCAGGCACCGCGTCATCGGCAGAGGTGCCTCTGAGAAGCACACGCGTCTGTCCGGGGAGGACGGCACCAGCCCTGGGCCACGCGGGTGACGACCAGCCGTGCAGAAGGAACAGGCCATTGGCACCGCCCGGCATGTTCACGTGTCCCACAGCCCCACACGCTGGACACAAACCCGGGAGGAGGGCTGGAGGCAGCGACCAGCGCAGCCAAGCTCAGACCCTCGCCCCAGTGAGAAGCGCTCTCAGAGGGCTGGCCCTGTTCTCCCAGCTTCCCCAGCACCCACTGCCAGGCAGCGCCCCACCTGGTCCCTGGGTCTGACCCCACAGCCCAGCCCCTGCACAGCATGCCCCCCCCCCGCCTCCCCCGCCCCCGCCCGGCACTCACTCTCCTCGTCAACCTTCAGCTCCTGGTTGTTCTTTATCTTCTCAGTGACTTCCCGCTCGCTGTGGCCTTTGCTCACCAAGAACTTCACCTTGTACTCCTCCCAGGACACGCGGCCTGGAAAGCAGACTGTCCTGTCAGGGCGCCTAATGACGAGCCCTTCAAAAAACATACTGTTTCTAACAATTCTTTTACTGACGTCAGAGAGGAACGGAGGAGGAGGGAAAGACAACATCAGTGCACGCCCCCTACTGGGGATGGAGCCTGCAACCCAGGCACGAGATCCCTGGCTCACAGTTCAATGCTCAGCCACTAGGCCTCACCCGCCAGGCTGTGAGGATTCTAACGGATTCTCAAAGGAACCCACTCTCTAGGCCGGCCAGGGTGGCTCAGTGGTTGAACGCTGGTTGACCTACGAACTGGGGGTCATGGTTGGATTCTGGGTCAGGATGGGTGCCCGGGCTGTGGGTGATCCCCAGTTGGAGTGCATATAGCAGGCAACGGATTGATGTTTCTCACATCAATGTTTCTCTCTCACTCCTTCCCTGTAGCTCAGAATCGACAAAATCCCAGGCACACACTGTGGAGGCAGCCGCACACGGCGGCCAGCACCAACCTTCACCAGCCCCTCCCGACTGCAGAGCCAGCTGGGAAGTGGCCTCGGGCAGAACCCCGGGCCCTTCGGGCTCTCCCGGGCCCGGCGGGGCAGGCGCGGGCGTACCGTCGCCGTCCGGGTCCACCGCGCGGAAGTGCGCCTTGCTCTCCTGCACGGCCTCCTGGAAGTGCTCGGCCGTCTTCTCCACGATCCAACGCTGCATCTCCTTGGCGCTGATCCTCCTGTCGCCGTTCACGTCCACCCTGGGCAGACGGGGGTCAGACAGGGCCTGGGGCCCACAGCCAGGAGGACGGAGGACACGAGGATGGCGGGGGCCACGGGCAGCCGTGAGACCCCTCGGCAGGGACGCTGCGCCCAGGGGAGCGTTGGGGACGGTCAGGGAGGACACCGGGGACAGCGGGCAGTGTCTGCAGCTGTCACCACCCAGCAGCCCTGGGCCCTGGGCAGGCGAGTGGTTCTCCACTTGCCGCTCGATGGGAGAATCACACCCAGCCCACAGACACAGACCCTGGGATGGGTCAGAGTCCAGGGCACAGGCTTGGCGGCGAGGCACCCACGCCAGGTGGAGGACAGGTGCCGAGGCACCAGCTAGAGACACGTGTGTGCGGCTGCACACACACACAGGGCAGTGCGCACACGCATCCCCGTGGGCAGCCACACTGGACAGCAGCAGCACACCGGGCCCGGCCAGGCCCCTAAGCTCCCTCTCCTGCAGCAGAGACCAGCGCCCTGGAGCCAGGGGACAGGCAGGGACAGGTCGGGCTCAGTCCTTCGTCCCACCAGGGGACGCCCGGCAGGGCTCCCCGGACTGCCTGCTGCCCCATCAGCTCCTCTCCGGCCCCCCTTTCTCCTGAGCGTGGGCCCTGGAAGGCCCTGGTCTGGCCATGGCCCTCTCCCCAACGTTGCACCCAGTCTTCCCCTGGATGTCAAGGGCAGACACGGACGGCCCGGCTCCTGCTGCTTCACCTCCCTCTCCTGCTGGTACTGCAGGTGGCGTCCCACCCCCCTCGGCTGCTCGGGCCCCACCAGGTGCCCTGTAATGAGCCTAGCCTGCCCGCCGCCTTCAGCAGGCCTATCCCAGCCCCCTGAGCCTGCCGGCCGGGGGCCCCAGGCCCTCCCTTGTCTCCGCCCTTGTTGGCCCCTGCGTGTGGAGAGCACGGTGTGCCCCACCCCTCTCGCCCCGTCTCATAGGCATTTCCTAGGACACAGGCGCATGGGGCACCCAGGGCAGGCCCTGCTCCAGGCCATCCCACAGCCCTTCCAGCTGCAGGGCCGTGGGGCTGCGCAGCCTCTCGCTCCGGCCTGAGCCCCTCCTGGCCCACCTGCTGGTCATGCTACACGTTCTCAGCTCGACCCCCGTGACCCCTGCACACTCTCCGAGCGCTGGCCACCAAGAGCAGCCACGGCACCTTCCTCCGCAGCAGGCACCTCCCTCGCCGCGCAGTCAGGCCTGGACCAGCAGGGCCCCCGGAGCCCCGCCTACGTGCGCCCGCTCAGGGCCACCTACTTGGAGAAGATGACCATCAGCTTCTTCCTGCTCTTCCGAGGCTCCGCGTCCTCCTCGAACCCGTCCGTGTCCTTCCCCAGGAAGACCTCTTGGTGGAAGTCCTTGTTGAGGTGCCCGTCCATCTCCAGCTTCACCCCGTTCAGGTGGTCAGGGGGCAGGATCTCACTGTCCTCCCTGCGGCCGCCCCTGTCCCGGGCAGACGAGTGGTTGGCGGGCCGGGCGGACGTGTCCATCAGCAGGACAAGGCCCAGGAGCCAGAGGCAGCGAGGAGCCAGACCACAGCAGGGAGCTGGCCTGGACGCCATGGCCCCGGGTCCGGGCCGAGGGGCGCCTGTGAGGGTGGCCAGGAGCTGGGGAGAGAGGAGAGGCAGGGAGGAAGTGAGCCCACAGCCCACAGCCGTAGGCCCCAGCGAGGGGTGACGGTCCAGAGAGGACATAGCCGCTGCTGGACAGACCCCCAGCAAGAGCTGGACTGAAGAAGCGGCTTCTAGGCCCACGCAAGGAACGCTGCTCGCTCCGCCTCCCTCTGTGAGAGGCTGCGCCTCGCAGCGCCGTCCCTGTCCCTCCTACAGTCCTGGGACCTCTCTCCAGATCTCAACTCAGCACGTGTGAGCTCTGCGACCTCGGCCGAGCCCCCGACCTCCTCAACCTCAGTGTCCCCATGAAACAGGAACTCTCACCCCCCACCCCAAGGCTCTATGAGAGCTGCACCTGTGCCAGCAAACACCCAACCTGCCCCTCAGGGCACCAGCCCCTCCCTCCCTCCCTCTCAATGACCCCTATGTGTCCTCTCTTCTCTCTCTCTCTCTCTCTCTCACACACACACACCTCTACATGTGTACAACCACACTTACATACGTGCGCAAACACACACCTATGTGTGTACAACCACGCTTACACACGCGCGCGCACGAACACACACACACACACACACACACACACACGTCCTTGCTCCTGTTCGTGCAAGAGCCCCCGGAAGTCTGTCACTAGGACACCTGCCCCTGGCGGACAAGGAACAAAGGATCCTCTGTCCCCACTGCCAGGCGAGGGGTCCCACCACAGCCTCACCCACACCTGCCTACCACCTGGGCCCCTCTCCAGGGCCCTCCAAGTTGGGAACAGGGCCCACCTGGACCTTCACAGTCACCCAGAGGGAACCCCAGCTCCTCCTGCCCCCTAACCTGCCCCCTCCCAGTCTGTCCACCTGGCAAACACCTGCTGGTCCTTCCAGGTGCAGCTGAGGCCCCGCCTCCTCTGACAGTGTTCCCAGGAGGAAGGGGGGTGGCCCTGAGCACACTACCCTCAGGCCTGGGTCCTGCCAGCAGCAGCCCAGCGGGGCATGTGGAGTTCAGGAACCAGGGAGCCCACTCTCAGCCTGAGGACACATGGGGCCACCACTTGCTTCTCTGATGCCTCCTGTGTACACCACCCACTCCTGACCACACCCCGATGGTCTGGGCCTCTGTGTGTGCAGAGGCCTCAGCCAGGTCTAGCTCGGTGTCATTCCTTCGAGGGCGTGAGTCCGCAGGGCAGCCTGACGTCCCTCTTCCCAGGCCTGTGGGACCCGCGCCTCCCCACACCCACCGCGCCCGAAAGCTGTCCAAAGCGCTCAGGGCGGTGACCAGCCTGAGTCACAGTTACGGGAACTCGCGTTGGTCCCGAGACCATGGGGCCCTGTGTCCGTCAGCCTCACGCCCAGCACCCGTCCACGCACAGCGGGCACTCAGCCAGGCAGAGGGATGGGCCCTGCAAAGGTGCACGCGGGACACCCCTGGCCCTGACCCAGAGCTGTAACCCGAGCGGGAGGGCCCGACAGCCGGACAAGCAGCGCGGGGTCACCCCAGGGGGCTGCGGTCCAGGTGGGCCACCCCAGGCAGCCTCCTTCCCAGGGCGGGGCTGCCCCGCCCCCGGCGCCCCCCACACACCCGTCCGGCTCTGCGGGCCTCGAAGGCGCCAGCTTCTGGAACTGACAGCCCCGCAGCTTCTGGCACTGACAGCCCCGCAGCTGGCAGCCCCAACGGACGGCACTCCGCTCCCCGACAAGGTCAACCCCGCCTCCGCCATCTCCACGGGCGGCGCACGGGCATCCGGGAACAGCGGACAGACGTGGGGAGGCCGGGAGGCTCCCGCCCCGGCGCACGGCCTCTCCCGGGGTCCCCGCCGGGAGGCGACAGCGCGCGGGACGCGCCACAGGCCCCGCTGAGCGGCGGCGACATTCCGCGGCCGCCCCGGGGTACCGGCCCCGCGGAACCAGCTTCTTGTCGCCCAAACGCCAGCGCCAATTGTAAACGCTGCTCCGGCGCCGGCGGGCATCAGGTCTTCGCCGAGCCGAGCCGAGCCGACAGCGGGCGTCGCGGGCCCCGCGTCGCAGACGAGGACGGGGAGGTCGCCCCGCGCCGCCCGCGCCCCTCGGCCCGTGTCCCCGACACCCGGCCGCGCCGGCCGCGCCCCGCTCGCGCCCGCACTCACCGCCCGGGAGCCGCCGAAGCTGTGACGCCTCCAGCCGGACTCCGCTAGGCCGCGGCCATCTTTCTTCCGGGAAGAGGCGTGGCTCCGGGCTGGGGGCGGTGCGACCTCGCGCGCTGACGCCAGCGCCGCCATCTTGCTTACGGGCGGAAGCGGCCCTCCCAGGGCGACCAATTGCAAGGGCGCGCGGGGCTACGTGACGGGAAGCGGGCCACGTGACGGGCAGCCGGCCCACGTGACAGGCGGCCGGCTGGGCCCGCAGCCTCGCGGCCGGTGGACCCGGGGGGCCTCGGCGCGCTCGCAGGCGGCCGGCGCGCCATGAAGCTGCCGCGGCGCGCGTGGCGGCACCGGACGGCACTGGGCCTGGGCGGCCTGGCGCTGTGCGGCGTCGCCCTGCTCTACCTGGCGCGCTGCTCAGCCGAGGGTCCTCGCTCACCTGCCGGCCAGGGCCCTGGCCCCCCGCCCGCCGGCCCCGCGCGCGACGCCGCCTTCCTGGCCGTGCTGGTGGCCTCCGCGCCGCGGGCGGCCGAGCGGCGCAGCGTGGTCCGCGGCACGTGGCTGGCGGCGGCGCGGCGCGGCGGCCCGGGCGACGTGTGGGCGCGCTTCGCCGTGGGCACGGACGGCCTGGGCGCCGAGGAGCGGCGCGCCCTGGAGCGCGAGCAGGCGCGGCACGGGGACCTGCTGCTGCTGCCCGCGCTGCGCGACGCCTACGAGAACCTCACGGCCAAGGTGCTGGCCATGCTGGCCTGGCTGGACGAGCACGTGGCCTTCGAGTTCGTGCTCAAGGCCGACGACGACTCGTTCGTGCGGCTGGACGCGATGCTGGCCGAGCTGCGCTCCCGCGACCCCGCGCGCCGCCGCCGCCTCTACTGGGGCTTCTTCTCGGGCCGCGGGCGCGTTAAGCCGGGGGGCCGCTGGCGCGAGGCGGCCTGGCAGCTCTGCGACTACTACCTGCCCTACGCCCTGGGCGGCGGCTACGTGCTCTCCGCCGACCTGGTGCGCTACCTGCGCCTGAGCCGCGAGTTCCTGCGCGCCTGGCACAGCGAGGACGTGTCCATGGGCGCCTGGCTGGCGCCCGTGGACGTGCAGCGCGAGCACGACCCGCGCTTCGACACGGAGTACAAGTCCCGCGGCTGCAGCAACCAGTACCTGGTGACGCACAAGCAGAGCCTGGAGGACATGCTGGAGAAGCACCAGACGCTGGCGCGCGAGGGCCGCCTGTGCAAGCAGGAGGTGCAGCTGCGCCTCTCCTACGTCTACGACTGGTCGGCGCCGCCCTCCCAGTGCTGCCAGAGGAGGGAGGGCATCCCCTGAGGCGGCTGCTGGCGGAGAGGGGTGGCGGGGACCAACGCCCCGGAGCCCTCCTTCGGCAGCCCCCCAAGCCGGCCTTCCCCTAGGGGAGCTGACCGGTCTGGATGGTTGTCTGGGATGAGTCCAGCACTCGAGGGGGACCTTGTGTCTGTGGTCACTGGTGGGGCTGTTCAGCACATGCCGTGCAGCACGGACAGCTCCTGGACCCCAGGTCCAGTCTGCACCCTGGGGCGCCTCAGTGGCTGCACCTGCCGCCTTTGTTCAAGAGCCTCTTGCTCTGCGGCTTGCCAGGGCGACGCATTGTGTCCAGGGAGAGGCGTCCTGCCCCTGGGTTTCAGCCAGCATTTGCCTGGACTGGGAAGATGCCCAACTTTGGGTGCGAATGGGGAAGAGCCTCCTGGGTCTGCAGGGGCCTGCAGACCATTTATCCCTCCCTCCCCCCACCCCCATCCTGCTGTCCTGCCCCACCCAAGTCAGGGACCAGGAGCCAAAGGCTGGAGCTGGAGCGGACCTGCACTTGCCGGCTCAGCTCTGCTTGTTCCGGGTGGTACGACACCCTGTCCTACATCCCGTTCGAACCCAACGTCCACCTTGGAAGTCACTGCCCCCAGCGCCGTGCCTGCTGTGAGCTGACCCACCGTGGGCCCCGGCCAGTGGCGACCGGCTGCATGTTGCAACCCAGTGGCAGTTGGAGAACTGCGGTCAGGCGGCCTCCAGTGCGTCTTCCTCTGTCGGTGTCACTCATGTGCGCGTCCCTGCTCTGTGTCCATGCTCTGTGTCTGCCGGCAGCGAGTGTGTGGTCAGCGCCCCTCAGCTCCTGCTGTGATTTATTTATAAACATTGTGCGTTTGTGTAGACAGGAGCTCCGGCTGGGAGTGTGTGGTCTCCGTGTTTTTCCTTTTAAATTATTGCAGAAGCTGTTTCTGTCGGAACGGGAATCCGTGGATTAGTCTGTTTTGACAGAGGGAGCTGTAGACCCGTGGCTGCGTGTGTGTTTAAACACGCAAGAATTCTAAAACGGTCCCATTTCTCTTTTCCGTTTACACACACGTCCGTCCTATTGTCTCTTTCCGAAAAGACTCCTTTTAAGGCCGCCTCGTGGCCGCCCGGGGGCGAGGCTGCTCACGCGGCCGTGGCGGTTCGGGTTCCGGGAATCGGACCCTGGAATGTTGACGAGGTTTCCGAGTCGCTGCTTAAGAAGAGCAGCGTCTGGCCGGTGGTGCTCTTGGAGGCGGCGATGGTGTGCTCCGGGCCAGGCCGTCGGCTCGCACGTCCCACCGTCCTCGGGACTGCAGGCCTCCGTTCCCCACCGTGGCTGGGGTGACTCCCCCGGCTGCCCGCTCCCGTTTCCATGAGGTTCTTCCACCAGCAAAGTCCCCGAGACGGGACAATGAGTGCTGCCAGGGGCCCAGGAGGGGTGCGTGGGAGGGGGACCTCCCAGGGTCGGCCCCGGTGACATTGCCCTTCGGTTTTGCACACTCCACTCTGGGGGCCTGGGCAAGGGGCACCCGGTCTCTCCCATCGTTCCGGTTATCCACAACTGTACATTTAGCTTTGAAGTCTGTGTCACATCACCAATTCTGACGGCACAAAGAACAGCGGGTGGAGACGGGATGCAGCCGGGAGCCCTGGCTGCCACCCCCAGAGGCCGGAGAGGCATGGGAGGGTCTCCCCAGAGCCTCAGGGGCACGACCCTGCTGAGCCCGTGCGCCACCTTCCGGCCGGCCGTGAGCCGCAGAGGACCCTGGCCTGGCCCTCCCTGCAGTCGTGGCCCTTCGCTCCGCTAGGGCCCTGTTCCTCCCGCTGGTGCTCTGTGGGGACTGGCTGGGCTCAGACCCCACAGCCCCTGGCCGGGCCCAGCCTCCTCTTCCCTGGGCTCAGCCTCCGGGCTGGGAAGATGGGCCCCGTGGTGGCCACTGCCCAGCCCCTGCATTCCGATGTCTGTGGGTCTGGCCCTGGCGCGCCCCCCCCCCCCCCCCCCGCCGGCTAGGTGACTGCCCTGGCTCCATCCAGCCCAGGGTCCGAAGGGTCCGAGGGGCGGCCGGTGCTCCCCTCTCGGCCCCAGCCACCGGGCACCCTGTCCACAGTGTGATGCCTTTTGCCGTCCCGGGTCCAGGAGGCACGTGGCAGACAGGCCTCCAGGGGAACCACAGGGAACTCAGGTTCAGATGGGGTGGGGGGTGGGGGGAAGGGGGAGTTCGGAGTCTGTCCAATACGCTCCCCCCGTCGTGCCTGCACCTGGTTCCGGGGGCAGGGATGGGGGCAAGACTCGGGCTGTGCTTCCTGTCACCTGGGTTGACTGACCTGTCCTGGCACCATGGCTGCTCCTCTGTCCATCCCCCAGGCCTGGCCTCAGAGCAGAGTCCAACCAGTGGGTCTCCCTGTCTGAGCCCTGAGGCGCTCCACTTCTTGGGGTTACCTCCCAGCCCCTGCAGGAGGGGCTCCCCACAGCCCATCACCTGGCTCCTGTGGCCACACCCCCTTTCTCGAGGCCAGGTGGGCTCACACCCTTAGCTCTGCTCCCCCCAGAAAGTGCTTCCACAACCCCACCCTTTCTCCACTGTCCCCCCTCCGGCTCCCTCCTCCTCCCCCCTACATCCACTGCCTCCCTCCAGCTCCCCCCTCCTCCCCAGCGCCCTCCTCACTCCCAGCCCTCCCTGGCCCCACGCGGAAGGCTGAGAGCCAGCCTCCTGCCTGCCTGCTGGCCGGCCTCAGCCCTTGAGACCCGCAGGGTGCACCCGGCGGGCAGCCCAAGCTCTGCCCGGGCCTGGCAGATGAGAGGAGGCCGTGGCCATGGCGGGTGCCGCAGCCCCGCTCACTGGTGTCCCGTGACCCACATGGGGAGCAGGTGCCTCGGCAGCGCCTGTAGGCAGGGCAGGGCCCAGGCCTGGGCGGAGGCCCGCAGCGGTGCAGCCCTGGTCCAGGCACCCAGGGGCCGGCCAGCCCCACCCGGCTAGCAGTTCCTGCCGAGGAGGAGGATCCTGGAGACCCAGCCGTGGCAGCAGCTACGGGTGGGGGCGAGAGGGCTTCTGCCCTCCCCACACCCGGGGTGGGGGTGCCGCTGGGCCGTCTCCGTGAACGTGGGGCCCCCGGGCGTGGGGAGCATCGGGGGCTCTTCAGAGGAGCCTCCCCTTGAGCCTGGAGATGAGAGCCCCCGCCCTGCCTCGGGGGCTCTGTGGCTGGTGGCCTCGCCTCTGCAGGCCACGCCGCCCCTCACGGGCCCAGGTCCCTGTACTCCTCCTGCACAGGGTCCCAAGGCCCCGCTCCCAGCCTGCGGGGCCCCCGGGGGGCTCAGTGGCCGTGGCACCGGGTGAGCGGAGGCTGGGGGCCAGCTGGGCGGCAGCAGGTGGCCTGGGGGCGGGACAGCGGGCAGCTCCCTCCAGAGCAAACCGCGGGCCCTGGCCGAGCCTCACCCGGGCCCCACTCCAGCTCCGCTGACCTGGGCCTGGCCGCCCTGTTACCGTGAACAGGAAGCCCAAGCCCTGGCCCCTCCTTCCAGGGTGTTGGTCTCAGCAGCCCAGACTCTGCCCCCCTCCGCCCCGCAGGGCCCTGCACCCCTGCCACAGCTGCCCACCCGGTTCTGACAGGGAGAAGTGAGGGGCAGGTGGCCAGAGCTGGGCCCAGGCACGTCCGCCGAGGAGGGCTGAGGCGTGAAGCACGTGCGGGCCGGCCTTGTCCGTGGCCGGGGGCGGGGGTGGGAGGCCAGGAAAGGGCCCCGGAGACACTGCCTCGCCCTCTGGTGCCTGTTCTTGCTCCTCCGCTCTCTGCCACCCCCTCCCCTCCCACACCCCGGTGCCGGCAGAGCAGCCGGAGGGGCCCCGGGCGCAGGCGGGGGTCGCGCGGCCCTTGCCGAGCCCCAGGTGCGTGTGTGACACGCCGGCTGTTGCAACACCGATGTTATCGCCCCAGAGGAGCCCGTGAGTCACGGAGCGGGGGCTGCACCCCAAACTCAACAAAAGCCCTTTGTCCCTGAGGCCCCGCTTTCCTCGCCGCCACCTGTGTGCACCCGCAGACGCCTGAGTGTGGGCGGGGCCAGCTCTGGGTGCCTCAGGCCAGTGCCAGGGGTCGGCCTCAGAGACCCCGGGCTATGGAGACCCCGGGCTGCGGGAGACCCCGGGCTATGGAGACCCCGGGCTGCGGGAGACCCCGGGCTGCGGGAGACCCCGGGCCTCGGAGACCCCGGGCCTCGGAGACCCCGGGCCTCGGAGACCCTGGGCTGCGGGAGACCCCGGGCTGTGGGAGACCCCGGGCTGCGGGAGACCCCGGGCTATGGAGACCCCGGGCTGCGGGAGACCCCGGGCTTCGGGAGACCCTGGGCTATGGAGACCCCGGGCTGTGGGAGACCCCGGGCTGCGGGAGACCCCGGGCTGTGGAGACCCTGGGCTGCGGGAGACCCCGGGCTATGGAGACCCCGGGCTGCGGGAGACCCCGGGCTGCGGGAGACCCCGGGCTGTGGAGACCCTGGGCTGCGGGAGACCCCGGGCTGTGGAGACCCTGGGCTGCGGGAGACCCCAGGCTGCGGGACACCCCGGGCTGCGGGAGACCCCGGGCCTCAGAGATCACAGCTCCTGGGCCACTCTGTTTGGGGAACTGGAAATCAGCCTCTGATGGGCCCTGGGCAGTGCCCTGAGGCCACACAGAGCTCGGGGCCCGGAGGGCACACTGGCCCAGGCCGGTCAGTGAGTGAGGAATGAGGGCCCCCGGCCACAGCCCTGCTCCTGATCATGGCCCAGACCCGGCAGCACTCGGGGCAGGGCCGAGGCCTCGGCAGCATCGTGCCTGCTGCCCCTGGGAACTCCGGCCAGGGTCCCCCTCTTCCCAGGCCCCTCAGCCAGGGCTCCCCGATTCCCGGGCCCTCCACCAGGGCTCCCCACTTCGAGCCCTCCAGTTCTGAGGTTAGCCAGGGCTCCAGCCATCAGGTCTCAGAGTCCTGGTCCTTCAGCTAAGAGCCGGATCTCAGCGGAGACAGAGGGACCGGGACCCCACCCATCCACGTCACGTGTGCATGTGCACACATACGTGCGCACGCGCAGCAGCCCTGCAGCTCTCTGAGCCGAGGCAGCATCACAGCCACCAAGGACGTGGGGTCGGCAGGGTCAGCACAGGGAGCCCAGAGAATCCGCCCAGGCCCCCTGATCCCCAGGCCCCAACCTCCCCGCACCCCTCGTGCCCCAGGCTACGCTCAGGCCTGGGCCCAGCTCAGGAGACCAGGCTCAGTCTGGGTGTGAACCTCCTGGGACGCCCCTCCTGGTCCCAGACCAACCCGAGGGGGCCAAGGGCGGCCCAGCGCCCAGCTCTGGCCACCAAGGGCCTGCCTGGCTGCACCTGCAGGGGCAGGGACAGGCCCCAGGCTCAGACCCCAGGGCCCAGGCCATGTGCCCAACTCCCCTGCAAGCTCGCCCGGCCTGTGCCAGCCCACAGCCCACGGGTCCATGCTCACAGCCGGGCCCCACCTCCCCACTCCTGCCACAGCCTGGGGTGGGGCCTGGCGGTCCAGTCCTCGGCTGCTCCTGGCCCAAGAGGCCGTTCCAGCTGCCCTGAGCCAGACGCCCGCATTCCTGTCTACACTCAAACCCGACCGCCGCCGAGGGTGCTGGGGGCAGGCTCTGAGCCAGGACAGACCCCCTGCGCCCAGCACCCCAGGCCACCTCGGGGCGAGGAGGGGCCCATCAGGTGCAGCCTGGCTGCGGCCCCGAGACCAGGTTTGGGGAGCGCCCAGCCAAGGGCCCCTCGGCCCCTGGCAGGCGGCAGGTCAGACAGAGGATCTGGGAAGGGAGCCCTAGGGGGGTCGACAAGGTCAGCCAGGCCCCTCCCGCTGCCGGGGGAGGGCAGACGCCAGTCAGGGGTCAACCTGAGGCTGGCTAGCACCGCCGGCCGCTTGGCTCTGTGCAGCCAGAGGCCCGGCCAGGGAGTCCCCTCCCCCGGGGCCCCCAAAAGCTCCCACCTCAGCAGCAGGGTCGGACCCCTGTGTGGGCGGGACCACAGGGCCCAGGCCCCCCAGGGCCTCCAGACCCTCCCCTGGCCCCGGGGAGCTGTCAGCATCGCAGTTCCGTGGGGCCTGGAAGACAGTGGGACTTGGATGGATGATGAGGCGGAGCTCAGGGTGGGGCCTCTGGAGGCTCACCCCTTGTCTGCACTGCAGTGGGCGGTGGAGGGGGGGGGGGGCCTGCAGCCTGTGTCTTTCAAGACTGGTCTGAGCCTGGGGCCTGAACCCCAAGCCCTGGGGCTCCCAGTCCACACCCCAGGACCTCCCTACGGCAGTCACAGCCCTTGCCTGGCCCCCCACCCCCGGCCCCCCGCCCCCGGCCCCCACCCCCGCCCCCCGGCCCCGCGCCCCCGGCCCCCACCCCCGCCCCCCGGCCCCCCGCCCCGCGCCCCCGCCCCGCACCCCCGGCCCCGCACCCCCGGCCCCGCACCCCGCCCCCGGCCCCCCGGCCCCGGCCCCGCGCCCCAGCCATGGGGGCTGGAGAATGCACACTCCGGGGGCGCCCAGCGCCGGGGTAATGACCGGAGATTAGGGCTGGGATGAGGGTGAGGGCGAGACAGGCAGGTGGAGCCGGGCGCCAGGACGCCCCTCCCCGCCCCGACCTGGCCTCCTGCCCGCGGCCAGCTCCCGGGCGGCCTGGCCTCGCCGCCTCGTCTCTCGTCTCCTCGTCTCCTTGTCTCCTCATCTCTCCTCTCCCGTCTGTCTGCCGCTCTCTGCGGGCCTGGCCCGTCTCCGGGGCTGGGTCTCCATCTCTGTCATCACGGCCCCCGTAGCCGGCTGGACGGGGAGGCAGGACTGGCCGCCTCCCGGGCGAGGTGGGCTGGGGGCCTGGCTGGCATTGGTGACGTAGGAGAGCACCCTGGGGCGCCAGGACGCCCAGAGGCCCCGGCACGGCTGAGGGTCTGGCTACCGCCACCCACAGTCCCTCTGCGTCCCCACCAGCCGGCAGCCCAGGGCGGGCGCCTCTGTAGACAGGCTCCCAGCCCCTGCGAGCCTGCTCCCTCCCCTCCCCCCACCCCTCCTCCCCACCCCTCCTCACAAGGACCACAGCGCCCATGCCCCTCCCCCGCAGGCAGGCTGCAGGACATCCCCACGCCGGCCAGCCGGCCAGGCCAGCCGGCGCCTACGGTTGCTGTGAAGCAGAGACACCTCCCCTCAACTCCCCAGCCCCTGACGCCACCCTGGGGGGACCAGGGAGAGAGGTGGGGACGGGTCAGTGGCCAAGCCTGGCCCGGCACCAGGGCTCCCCTGCCTCATTACCCAGCCAGGCCAGCAGGTCTGGGGGAGGGGCTGGGTGATGGCCGGCAGGCTCCGGCCTCCGCCTGCCCCCCTCCCACACCTGCCCTCCCAGCCCCGGCCCTCCCCCCGCCCGCCCTCCCCGCCCCCTGCCCTCCCTGCAGGACCAGGATGCCTCCTCTGTCTGCTCAGCCTGGGAACCAGGGTCTCGGGGAGCCCCACCCCCACTGCCACCCCCGGGGCGTCTCCCCAGAGGTCAGGGGTCAGCCTAGTGCTCCTGGTGGAGGGCCCGCCGGGGGCTCAGGTGCCAACCAGAGATGGTATCAGAGGCCGGGACATCCAGGGACCAATTTACATTCTTCAGTCTCGGTTTGCTGGGACCAAAACCGGGTGGGGGCAGGGGCCCTAAACCACAAGCCCTGAGGCGGGGTCCTGGCTGCCCCACCTGGCCTGGGGCGGTTCTGGCCCCATCTTTGGGGGGGGGGGGTTCCCATCCACCTGGGGCGGCCGCCACTCGGGAAGGTGGCAGGAAGCTGGTCTGGGCCGGACAACCCGCATGCCACCCCGAGCACCCAGCACCCTGCAGGCCCACGGGGTGCCTTCCCTGTGCGTGGCCCACCCCGCCGCTCCCCAGCCCACAGCCCACGCCACCCTGCTCCACGCTCTGGGACACCCAGTGCCCCGAGGCCGGACCGTCTGCGCCCAGGGCCGTCTCCGAGGCCGGCCCAGCCCCGGGGCTCCAGCAGAGGGGGCTGTCAGGCCGGCGCGGGGACCTGGACGGGCGTCCGTCTTTGTCCACAGGGTACGATGGACCCCAGCAGGTACGGAGGCTGCAGGGCACTCGGAGCATCCAAACCAACGCCCTCCACGGCCCCCGCTACCCCCCGCAGACACAGCGACCAGGCGGCAGAGCGGGCTGGGGCTCTTTATTGCGTGACCACACTTGGCACAGAGGGCAGCGCGGACGGGCGCCGGCCGTCCTCAGGCGCCCAGCAGGAGGCCGGAGAAGCTGGAGCCGCTCTGCACGGTGAGCGGCGCCCCAGAGCCGTTGTCCACAAAGACGGAGGCGTACTGTCCGGCCTGCGGACACCCAGGGCGACGTCACCCCACCGGGCCCGCCCGCCCCAGGCCGTGGCATCCCGGGGTCCCCAGTGGCCGAGTGGCTAAGGCGACCAGACGTCCCGCTTTTGGCGGGACAGCCCCGATTTTTAACAATCTGTCCCACGTCCAACGGCATTTTAAAAAATGCCGTGGGCCGAGACCGGTTTGGCTCAACGGATAGGGCGTCGGCCTGGGGACTGAAGGGCCCCGGGTTCGATTCGGGTCAAGGGCATGTACCTTCGTTGCGGGCGCATCCCCAGTAGGGGGTGTGCAAGAGGCAGCTGATCAATGACTTTCTCTCATCGATGTTTCTAGCTCTCTCTCTCTCCCCCTTCCTCTCTGTGAAAAATCAATGAAATATATTTATAAAAAATGCCGTGGGACGCGGGACAAACTTAAAAATCGGGACGTCTGGTCACCTTGCACGTGGGCCGTGTCCACCCACGGGCTGAGCCCCAGAGGCACGGACCCCTCCGGCCCGCCCAGCCCTCCGTCCTCACCTGCAGCTGGAGCAGCCCATGCACCAGCACCGTGAAGATCCTGCCGCTGCCCTCCAGCCCCGAGACGGCCTCCAGCGACCTGGGCAGGTCCAGGGTGAGGGCACAGCTGGCCCGCGGGCCACACCCCACCCCGGGCTCGGGGCCGCCCCTCCACTCCCCTCGGGCAGCACCGTCCACACTCAGGCCCCCACCCGGCCGCCCGCGACCCCGGCATCGGGCCCCCTCACGTGTGGCGATGGCACAGGCTCTCGATGCAGACGAGCACCCGCACCGTGTCCCGGGCCCGCGCCCGGCCCTGCAGGCCCCTGTGGTCTGCAGAGACAGCGGCCTCAGCCCTCGGGGAGGACAGGGCAGAGGGGGGGAGGGGCGCCGGGGGAGGGGGGCATTTCGGGGCACCTGCCCAGCACAGGCACAGGCACAGGAGTGGCTGCGAGCTGGGGCGGGTGGGCTGGGGCCCTGCCCAAGGCCCCGAGGGAGCCGGGTTTGGAGCAGGAGGCAGCTCTGCGACGGGACCCCGCTGAGAGAACCGCCCGCCCCACTCACCCAGGTGCAGGCTGGCCGAGAACTGAAAGATGGCGGCGACCGGGGCGGTGAATCGGCCGGAGGCCAGGCTCAGGCCCGAGCCCCGCAGGAAGGCGCCCTGGGCGGTGGGCTGCAGGGACGGCAGGGGAGCGTCCGGCTGCAGGCCTGGGCTCCGGCAGCCCACCGCCCTGCCCAGAGCACACCTGGCGGGAAGGATGAGGGCACAGCCGTGCGGCCGCTGGGCCTCTGGGCCCCGGGGCGAACGGGCACCCAGGGACAGACCCCCCAGCTGGCCACCTCGGGCCCCACTCACACGCCTGGCGCAGGAGGGGGGCTGGGGACACGGGACTAGTCCTGACCACTGGTGGCCACGCCCCCACGCCCCGGCATCCTGCCCCCAGCAGGGTCCCCAGAGACACCGGGGTCTTGGGGGACCCAGGCGCCCCGCACTCACGGCCTGGAAGCCCTGCAGCTCCACCAGCGTCTTCTTGTCCACGGGCACCGGGCCCCGCAGCCGGCAGTGGAAGGCCTCGGCCACCAGCCGCCGGCCCGGCCCCTCGGGCAGCAGCGAGCCCCATGCCCCCGCGAACCGGCGCTCGGCGGCCTCTGTGGGGACCAGGGGAGGTCAGCGGATCGGGTCCCCCCAGAGCCTCTGGGAGGATGTGGCAGGGGCAGCTCACCTCTCAGCATCTCCTGAAACTCCTGCAGCAGAACCTCCCGGGTGACTTCCGCGCCCGCGGGCCCAGGGGGTCCCGGGGGGCCGGGGGGGCCGGGGGGGCCAGAGAGGCCTCGCTGGGTGAGGCAGGAAGGAGGCTGTGAGGGTCCGAGCGGGAGCCACGGCCGCCCTGCCCCGGGCTCAGGCCCCGGCTCAGACCCAGGCCCCAACCCCAGGCTCAGACCCCGGCTCAGGCCTCCGGCTCAGACCCCGGCTCAGACCCCGGCTCAGACCCAGACCCAGACCCCAGACCCAGGCCCCAACCCCAGGCTCAGGCCCCGGCTCAGACCCAGACCCAGACCCCAGGCTCAGGCCCCAGGCTCAGGCCCAGGCTCACCGACTTCTTGTCCCGGCCTCGGCACCGCTTCTTCAAGGCCCCGTCATCCGGCCGCCGGACGAAGTTCAGCCACGTGGTGTGGGCATCTGAGAACTCGGGCCCCGAGGCCTCGGGCAGCTGAAGGGCCAAATGGCTGGGCTAGTGTGCTGATGACCGGGCCCCACGGGGCCCTCCCTGCGGCCCCAGGGCAGAGCGGGGGGCCCTCAGGCCCAGCCCGCCTCAGGCAGGACTTGGGGTGGGGGTGCCTCGAAGGCCATTCCTGGGCACTCGGACAGGACTCGGGCATCGGGTAGGCGAGGGCGTGGGGCCCTTTGAAAACCAGGCATGGCGTCCGGGCACCTCGGCTCTGGCTCCGGGTGGTGACCTGCCCTCTCTGTCCGCCTGACCCCAGGCAGACGGGCACGCCGGGCACACACAGGGCAGCCTCTGGGTCCCACCAGGGGCGTGGCCGGCCGAGGCAGGCGGAGGGGTCTCCAGGGTCTGAGGGACCCGGGGCACCGGCTCCGCTGGGGAGGGGACGGGCCTGCTCCTCAGGCTCGGACCCGGGCCCCGCGGCCAATCTCGCTGTCGGAGGGAGGGCTGGGCGGGGCAGTGCCGAGCAGCCTGAGCCCGTGCCCAGCCCTCTAACCACCTCCTCAGCCTCGGCGGGCGGGAGAGGTGGGAACACCCTGCCTGCCTCTGGGGAGACCCCCTCGCAGTGAGGGGTGTGGGCTGGAGGCAATGCCGTCCTCTCAGGAGGTCTGTGTGGGATTCAGACAGAAGCCCAGGAAGGGAACAGCAGCTGAGCAGATGCTGGCGGGGTGTGGAGGAGAGGGGGGAGAAGGGGCAGCCCCTGCCACGCCCCTGGGAGCCACCCAGGCAGGGCAAGCCCCAGGTCTGGGCCCAGGGGTCCGGCCCCAGGTGCCGTCCACAGACAGCCCTCAGCCCCAGCCCCAGCGAGCACCAGGCCCTGGGGCAGCACAGCCTCCTCCCAGGCTCAGGTGGGCCCTGTCCTGGGGGGGAGCTGGGAGGGGCAGGGGTCCTAACGAGGGGCGGGGCAGCTGGGCCACGTGCCGCCTGGTGTGGGCACCCCCGGAGCCCCGGCCGGGACAGAGGTCCCCCTGTCCGTCCCCAGACCGCCCGGTGCCCCGGCTGGGGCGGCAGCCGCGCCTCCCGCTGGCAGGGCCAGGGACTCCTCTGGAAAACCGGGCCTCGGGCTCCATGGGGTGCGTGGGCTGGGAGCAGCCAGGCTGGCCGCCACAGAGACGCCCTGGGGCGGCAGGAGGCCGGGATCAAAGGCAGAGGGCTGGCGGGGGGCCTGTCCCAGCAACTGCCGCTCCCCCCGAACCCCTGCCGGGGTCAGCGGCAGAGCCCTCAGGGGTCCTCCCCGGGGCTCAGGTCTGAGGCAGCCGGGGGCCAGAGGGACCCTAAGAGCCGGAGCATCCCACCCAGAGGCCATGGGGGCGGGGGGAGGGCGAGGCCCCAGGAGCTCAGGGTCCGGGCTGGCCTTGGCCTCTGCCCCGGAGTGGAGGGCAGGTTCCCGCGAAGCAGTCCTGGCAGCCCAGGGCCCTCCCCACCCCGCCCGGGTCACAGCTGGGAGGCTGGGGCCGGGGTGCTGGGGTTCCCAGGGTCTTGGCTCAGCCCCCCTGGGAAGGCACTCCCCTCCCACCCCCTCCCCACACCCCGCACGGCCGGGGGCCCAGGGGGGCCCCTAACGCGCCCGCAGCAGATCCTGCCCCAAGTCCCCGAGTCCCACCGCACCGGCCGGGCAGGGGCCGGAGGGCCCGGCGGGTGGGAGGCCGGCGCCCCGCCAGGCGAAGCCCCCCGCGAGCCCGGGGCGCCCTCCGCACGTACCTTGGGGGGCCCGGGCGGGCCCTCGCTGCCGGCCGCGGTGGCGTTGCGGGGTTCGGCGCGCGGACCCGGCTGCCGCGGCCGCTTCTGCTCCCGCCGCGCCCCGACGGCGCCGAGGAGCGCGAGCTGCGGCCAGAGGAGGCCCAGGGCGGCGGCCCAGGCCCAGCGCATGGCGGCGGCCGGTGCGTCCGGCGGCTCAGCGCTCGGTGCTCATGGGGGCGGCCCGCGCTCAGAGCCCCGGCGCGAGGGCGGCGCGGCCGCGGGGGCCGCCCGGCCGCCGGTGCATGTCTGTGCGGATGCGCCGGGCGAGGCCGCGCGGGACGGGCGGCGGGCGGAGGGCGCGGACGGCGCGGCGGAGGCTCCGGTCCCCGCGGGTCGCGTGCGGCTCCCCCTCCCGCGCGCAATGCCCTGGCCGCCCGCGCCGCCGCCAGATAAGCCCTCCTCCTCCCGCTCGCGGGCCCAGGGGGAGGGCCCACGCGGCGATCCGTCAGCAGGCGCCCGCCGCCCTGGGCGTGGACGGTCCGGCACCCCCCTGACCACGCGCCGGGGGCTCCCGCCTCTGCAGACCCTCCCACGCGCTTCGGAAACAGCCGGCGCCCCTTCCCGGGAGGCGGACTCACCCTGGAACCCTTAACAAGGATCTGCCCTGCCCCCCACGGAGCGAAGCTGCTGCCCCCACCCTCCCCCACCCTCCCCCATCCTCCCCACTCCCACCCCTAGCCCCGGCCGCTGGTCCAGTGCAGGTTCATTGCCGGCCGCACTGCCCGCACCACACACACACACACACACACACACACACACACACACATACGCTCCGAAGGACGGGGCACCAGGACGCAATGCCAGCCTCCGGGGAGGGGTCTCCTGGCTGCCTTTCCCAACCCGGTGCCAGTGCAGCTCACATTTGGGGTGCAGCCAGGCGGGGCCCCAGGGCCCCCTCCATACCCAGGCTTTTGAGCCGGACACGATGGAGCTGAGGCTTCAATGGTGAGCTCAGGGGTTGAGTGCTGATCTATGGACCTGGATTCCCAGGAGCCCGGGGTGGAGACACACCGCTCTGCTCTGAGAGCTCACAGCCCTGTGGGCCCTTCAAGCGACCCCGCACGCAGGCTCTGCCAGGCGCTCTGGCTGCTGGGTCCTGGGGTGTCCGAGAGCCTGGCCCGGGCCCTTCCAGGGAGAGGCAAGACCCAGGAAGCTGGGCGGCCGACCCACCGGCCCTGGCCTTGTGCAGCCTCGATGACCCTATGACCCTGGGTGCTGCTTCTCCAGCAGGGAGGGGCTGGCTGACCTCAAGGTGTGACCGTAGGTCCCTCCTCTCCTTGAGGCTCAGGGCCAATCCTTACTGCCTAAGGGGCTGCCCTCACCTGTTCTCCCGGGTCCTAGCTCCCAGGAGCCTCTTGGCTTCCGAGCCAGGAGAGACGGGAGACCAGTCCCCAGCCAGGCCTCTGGAGGTAGGCACCTGCCAGCATAGCCCATCGCCTCCTCGGCCCTCGGTCCAGGGGACAGTGACTGCCTCCCGCTGCACCTGAGCAGCTGGGGTGTGAGGTGGGGCGAGGGGGGCCTGGGTCCGGTCACAGGCCCTGGGCTGTCACTGCACCGTGGTGGCCAGCGGGGCTGGGAGCCCGAGCCCAGACCCCACTGCCAGCCGCCCATTGGGTGGCGTAGACCAAGGCTGATCAATAGTCAGAGCCAGGCGGGCCCCAGCCGCTGCTGAGTGCAGCCTCGAGGAAGGCGGAGCACCAGGTCCCAGGACCCTCTTCAATTTCGACGTCTGCCAGAGCTGGACCAGGCCAGGGAAGCAGCCCAGCACAAGACCCCAGCCCAGGCCACGCCATGGTCAGCTCCAGGCCGGGCCCAGGGACAAGCTGCTGGGCAGATGAGGCCTGTCTGCCCAGGGGCACCATCGCCTTCCTGCTCGGGCAGAGTGGTCACACCCAGGATAACAGCACGGGTTCTTCTTTCTTCTTTTAAGTATATTTCTTATTGATTTCGGAGAGGAAGGGAGAGGGATATAGGATAAAAAGATCAACGATGAGGGAGAATCACTGATTGGCTGCCTCCTGCACGCCCCACAATGGGGATCTAGTGCACAACCCTGGCATGCGCTACGACTGGGAATCGAAACGTGATCTCCAGGTTCCTAGATCAGCACTCAACCCCTGAGCCACACCGCTGGGCCCAGTGCGAGTTCTGGGACCCCTAAGCTCACCATTGAAGCCTCAGCTCCATCGTGTCCGGCTCAGAAGCCGGGGTATGGAGGGGGTCCTGGGGCCCCGCCTGGCTGCACCCCAAATGTGAGCTGCACTGGCACCGGGTCGGGAAAGGCAGCCAGGAGACCCCTCCCCGGAGGCTGGCACCTGCGTCCTGGGGCCCCGTCCTTCGGAGCGTGTGTGTGTGTGTGTGTGTGTGTGTGTGTGTGCGCGCGCGCGCGCAGTGCAGCTGACAGTGAACCTGTGTGGGGGGAGGCACGCGGCTCTGCAGCTGGACAGGGAGCCCTGTGGTGGGGCCAGAGGCCGGGCCTCAAACAGGCCCCACCCACCAGAGCCCTGGGCCCAGCTCTGGGTTCCAGGCCCTTCCTGAGCTGGGAGCAGGGAGCCATCCATGGCCTGTGGGTGTCGGCCAGACCACGCTCGGCTGTGGGGATGCTGGGCCGAGGTTGGGGTCGGGGGCGCCCCTCCTTCACACGAAGGGTCCCGCTAGCCCCCCGAACTGGCGCCACCTGGGGAAGGGCCAGAGGGAGCTGCGCGTTGCCAGGCGTCCCCCAGCCCCCAGTGAGGCTCAGGCCACTGTTGGTGTCCTCGCCCACCCAGCCCCAGCCCAGCCCCAGACACCCTGGCACCCGGGGCGGACAGCAGCCTGGCACGGCCCCCACAGCAGGCCGTCCGCCTGGCCATTGGAGCGGGGTCCCTCCAGCCTCAGACAGAGACCTCGGGAGTCGGCCTCAGGGAGAGACGCGGGAAGCACTCTCAGGCCTCGCTCGCCAGGAGGACGCCTCACAGCGCCCTGCGGCTTCGGTTCTTCGGGCTTTGCTCCCTCGAGGAGCCAAGCTGGCGGCACAGGACGGCTGCGCGATGAGCTTCGCCTCTGCCGATGGGCGGGGACAAAGAGGAGTCTGAGGACAGGCCACTGCCCTCAGCAGGGACTGCCACCAGACCCAGGGTCTGACACTGAGGGTCAGACACGCTGAGTGCTGACGGGGGCACAGGGCCGACCCCTCTGAGGGAGGGCTCACAGGAAGAAGTGCTGTCTGCTGGGCACTCCGCCTCCCATGAGCCTCTGGGACAGACACTGACCCCGACTCACCCTGCAGCGGCTGTGGGTGGAGGGCGGGTCCGGCAGGTGGCCACTGTCAGGACATTGCCTCTGCTGCAGACCCCGGGCCATGCCCACAGCTCGCCCCGGGCCAGCAGGTGCACTTCCACCCACAGACACAAACAGCAAACATTTAGGAGCAAAGACATCATGGAAGAGCTGTTCACAGAGTGGGTTCAACACACACAGGGTCAATTACAAGGAATTTAAAATAAATGCATCAAAACACAGTCAGAGGTGAGACCGTGCGTCTCCGTGGCTCTGGAGCGGGCCAGCGTTGCCGAGGGCCCGGGAGCCAGTCAGCAGATGCAGACGGAGGTTCGGGGCTCTGCCCTTCCTTCCTGATGCCCGCGCCCAGGGGCCTTCCGGAAGGGCCAGCAGCAGGTGATCCGCTGGGAAGGAGCGGAGAGCTACCCTTTGGGTCAGCCCAAGGGTGGGACCAAGTGTGAGGGAGCAGAGCCGCCTGTCGGGGAGGCCCCTGTGGAGACGCGGGGCCTTGGCCTCCACACAGAGGAGGGGCTCCTGGGCCACCCGGACCCCAGGAGCTCAGAGCAACGGCTCTGGCACAGGAGCCAGGAGGCGGCCGAGGTCACAGGAAGGCAGCGCCGCCCGGGTTCCCAGCCGCTTCCTCAAGTACAAGGCGACCCCTTGTGGTCGCAGTGAGCACAGCCACCTCCGGACGCAGGCTGTCTCTGGGCACCTGGGGCCGGCCCCACCCGGTGGCAGGGCCCAGGACGAAGAAGGCACGCAGAGCAATCGTAGGCATCAAGGTTTATATTTTAAGTGATCAAATCTATAAAATGAAAAACAGGTTTACTAAAACATGTCCCAAAGACAATGCAGGAGATGAGGTACAGAACCACAGCGCGAGGCCCCTCCACAGCCCAAGCTCCACAGCGAGACCAGGGCGCGTGGGCGGGACTGCGTCTAAGCTCCAGTCCAAGCCCCCACTCTGGTTTTCGTTTCCTCTTAATGGTGTTTAAAAAGCTAACCCCAGGCGCCGGGCGGTCCGCCCTCTGCGGATGGCGCGTCCAGCCAGCCAGGTCAGGCGGGCCGTCCCTCGCTCTCGGCCACTGCGTCCGGCGTGCAGCTCACTCCTGTGCTATGCTTCTCAGCACGTACTTGACCGTGTAGGCGAAGGCTGCAAACCCAACGATGACAAACAAGTTCGCCAGGGCGCCGCCCAGGAGTCCGTGGTGCCGGTTGGCCTGCTGGAAGCCCGCGAGGTGGGGCCCGGCCGCTGGCGCGCGCCCGTTGAGGAGCTGCAGCCCGTGCTGGCCGTGGTGCGTGTCCCCGTCAGGAACCACGTCTGGCAGGGGCAGCGCCGGGGGTCTGCTGCTGAGCTCGTCCTGTGCTTTTTGCTTCTGTTTAATCTCCTGGGAGAAGCAGTGGACAAAGGGTCTTAACAAACCAGCTCCTGTAGGAGGAGGAGGACTCTCGGCCCCCAGGGAGACCAAGACGGTGACATCGTTGGCAGGTTTCACCCTGGCACCCACCGAGTCAAAGACACGGGGGCCAGTGCCCTGACATCACCCACCTGCTCCACCCTGGCAGCATAGGCCTGAGCAGGTCTGAGTGGCATGGTCACTGCGGCCTGACCAAGTGCACCAGCCTTCTGCTCCCAGCCACTGGGACCAGGGAGCATTCCCAGCCCTCATGCAGGGCTCCCACTCCTGGCCCAAGACCCGCACCCCACGCTGGTGCTGAGCTGGCCAGCTCCACACCCAGGCCGTGCTCCTGGCCGTTCCCAGCTCCGCCCCTGTGGTCCTGGGACATGCGGGGAGCTTCCTCGGGTGCTCGCCTGCAGCCAGAGCAGGAGCACATGGTTCTTCTGGAGACAACTGAACCCCGACCCGGAAGCAAAGCTGACCTCCAAGCACTCTCACCTCCACGACTTCGGGAAACAACTCACAGAAGACTTTGTCCTTTAAATTAAACAGTAAACTCTGTGCCGCCAGTTGTCTTTTCTAGGAAGAAAGAGAAGGGAAACATCAGCCCAAGGTGAACATCAGTCCTTCCCAATTCCCAAAGCAGGTGATTGTATCACGGCTGCGCCCTCCCACTGTGGGACACATTTGACAGGCTGTTCTCCACAGTAAAGCTAACGTATGTCCGAAGGCTTACCCAAATGAGAGAGGAATAAAAGCCAGGCCACAGCCCAGGCAAGGGCTCCATCCCCAGTGTGGGGTGTGCAGCAGGCAGCCAATGAATGGTCCTCTCAC